GGAGAGGTTTCTGGTGTTAACGTGCCCAGCAGGTAGGTGGGAGCCCGTGCGAGCCCGTGTGGATCAACCTGGGAATTTCTTAGAGTGGCTCTCATGTCATCCTGTCTCCCCAGAGTTTTGTGTAAGAAGTAACGAGGATGCTGGTTCCTTGCCTTGCTTCTCTGCCTTCTGCCGGCTGTAATTACGCGTTGTGGGTTTGGCTGTGGAAGCTCTTGCAGAAATTTGCCGGCCTGTTTATCCTGACTTTTACTTGGCGTTCCCGCCATGCAGCCCGGGCGGAAGCTCTTCGGCTTATGCCGGGACCGAGCCCGATCCATGCAAACTCTGCCTAAGGACATGCCAGCCGTGTGCTTGTTCACCCCGGCCTTGCTCGTCCGGTCCGCCCACTCGTTCTGCACCGCTTCCCTCGTGAGCGCGGGGACGGCGACACGCGCTTGGGCAGCGCGTGGTGGCGTGGAGGTGTCAGGGCTGCTGGGCACAGGGGTCAATAGTCAATAACCGGGTGGTGAATGGGATGAAGCTTTTAAGTTGTTTGCACTTTGTATTTAACTTCTCTGTCATCTTTCACTGCTACTAAGATGGCCTTCCCTAAAACTTGGGCCTGCGTCTTTCTGGGTAATTTCAAACCACCTGGATGATTTGTCCTGCTAGAAGCTGTACGATCTGGCTTTCTTCCAGGAGTAACTTTGAAGCCCCATTGCTTGTCCTGAGAGAGACAGTTGCAGTCACAGTCGGCCTTGATCTTGCTTGCAAGATAGAGAGTTTGCTGATTAGCCAGAGTTGGTTCTGGTTTGGGCATGTGAAATGGGGTCTCAGTAAACGTTCAGTTGATTCAGAGCTTTGGAGAAGGCTTAGCTGTTCAGGTACAGAAACAAGAGTTATCTAGGCCTTGTTGATTAAAGGAAACATTATCAGCTTAATCTTTTTACATGCACAAATTGCTGCTGTGTGGAAAGCAATCTTATGTCATCAGTAATCCCTTAGAGGTATTCCAGCCAGCAGTGCAGGCTGAGCAGACCCAAGACTATTTCTGTTGTTAATGGTAGGTTTAATACTTCTCAGGAGCTGAGAATGCCACATAATAAACCATGTCCTGATTCATGGGAGCATTTATCTTTTATGTGGCCCTCACACAAACTCTATAAACAGTTTAAATGCTAAGGCTGGAAAGACCCATTTAATGCTCGTCTATACTTGGCTCTTCCTTTTGTGTCCCATGAGTGCAATTTTGCAGTGTTAGCAGCAGGAA